TACGTATCAGGTTATGTATAAAAACCTACTTTTGGTGATGGTAAGCAAAGTTTGGAAAACTTATTTAATATTTATGTATGCTTTTAGCATTTCTATCTGTATTGTAAAGATAGTATCCATTCATTTACTTAGGTATTTGAGAACCCACTGCTTCTCTTTCTCATCCTCTGTCTCCTTTCATTTGGGCAGTATTATGTGCCAGATACTGTTCTAAAGCTTTTACATGTATTAACTCATTTTTTTTTTCTTCCATTACACAAACGGTATGTTCATCCCAATTTTTCAAAAGGAGAAGCTCAGGTGCCTAGTGATGATTAACTTGCTTGAAGTTGCATAGCTAGCTCGTAAGTTGTGGATCTGGGATTCAGATTCAGACCCAGGCAGTCTTTTCTTCAGAGCCCGTTCTTCTAACCACCACGCTTCATTGTCTCCTGTGTGAAGACACCTCTCTGACACTGTGATAAGTGCTAGAGGTACATCTGAAATGGTTCTTGATGTCATGGAACTTAGATATTTATAAATGTTGTGTTTATAATTCTCTATATTTGTTAAAATATATAAAAAGATACACAATGTGGGAAAACACTATATATAATTAAGTAATTATATAATTAGCATATTACCATGTTATAAATTTCAGTATCGTTGACTGTTATTTCCATTGTGTGGATATGCCATAATCTAACTATTCCTGTGTTGGAAAGAAATTCTCATTCCTTTCTTAGTAAGTAATATTGCAGTGAACATCAGAATGCATTCATTATTGTCATTTCAAATTACTATGTGAGTCTATTTACAAAAACCTAAAAATTTGAAGTTACTGGCATCTGTTTCTAATTTTTTTTTTTTAATTTTTTTTTTTCAACGTTTATTTATTTTTGGGACAGAGAGAGACAGAGCATGAACGGGGGAGGGGCAGAGAGAGAGGGAGACACAGAATCGGAAACAGGCTCCAGGCTCTGAGCCATCAGCCCAGAGCCTGATGCGGGGCTCGAACTCAAGGACTGCGAGATCGTGACCTGGCTGAAGTCGGACGCTTAACCGACTGCGCCACCCAGGCGCCCCTGTTTCTAATTTTTTGAAGTTTACCCTTTAGCAGTAGTGCTAATCTACCTTCATAAGCATTGTATTCAGTAGTTACAAACAAAACAGAATTCAGTCAAAAATGTCCTATGTCAAACTATCTTCTCTTAAAGTCTCTGTTGTCTTTAATATTGTCATTGCAGTATATAAGTCCTTCCTAAATATTTTCTTTCATTTACTCAGATGTTTCTTTCTTTAATTTTTTTTTTAATGTTTCTTTATTTTTTGAGAGACAGGGACAGAGCATGAGCTGGGGAGGGGACAGAGAGAGAAGGGGAGTCACAGATCCCGAGGCAGGCTCCAGGCTCCGAGCTGTCAGCACAGAGCCCAACGCGGGGCTCGAACTCATGAACCATGAGATCATGACCTGAGCCGAAGTCGGACGCCTGACTGAGCCACCGAGGCGCCCCTCAAATGTTTCTATACTTACTATGTTTTAGAGTATATCAGACATGCCCCCCATCATGAACATTCTTTGTTTAGTTGTCAATCATGTATCCAAAATGTGGTGCATAACATTTTCACATACTTAGGTCATTAGTGCCTAGTTTGTTCCAGGTCTTTGGTAGTTAGATAATACGTTTAAAAAGATAAAGATAACAGTTTCCCTGTTGGACATAGCATAGTGAAGGAGGCTGTAACAACTGGCATGGAAATATATTTGTCTCTTTTATAAGAAGTGAAATATTTTGTAGACAGTTGCATAGAGTCTTTAATTAAAACACTAATTTTACAATTAAAAAGTATATAGTTGCACATCAGAATTTCTGAGGGGCATTCCTATTGTAATCCACTATTTTGGGTATTAATGCTTGTAAAATGAGTTATACAGAAGGGTTAGTGTTATTGATGAAGATATTTTTAAAAAGACCTTTAAGTTTTTTATTGTAATAGTTTGACTCTTAAATGTAGTAATTCTGCAAGATTTTGTTTCAGCAGTGTATAAAGTGGTTTCTTTGAGTCATCTGACTGCTTACCAAACAGTGGCCGTAGTAGTTGTGTTGATCACTTCTGCAGTTTTGGAATGTAGTGTGGATGCATGGTTTCCATTCAAATTTGAAATTGTTTAGGAGTTTCCTTTCCTTAACTTGGCGGATTTTTCTTCGGTGCTTTTTGTTTCTCTTTTAGTTTAATAATGCTTTGAAGTATTGGAGGGAGCTGTCCATCTACTTTTGGGGAGGGGGCTTGTTTTGTTTGTATTTTTAATTACTGATAACCTGACTGAATGGCTTCCCCTCTCTGAGCTAGTAAATAATCTCTTTCCATGAGGCTAATACTGGTAGTAGTTTATGAGACAGGACCTATTTGGAAAAATGTGGCAGGGGCGCCTGGGTGGCGCAGTCGGTTAAGCGTCCGACTTCAGCCAGGTCACGATCTCGCGGTCCGTGAGTTCGAGCCCCGCGTCGGGCTCTGGGCTGATGGCTCAGGCCTGGAGCCTGTTTCGATTCTGTCGTCTCTCTGCCCCTCCCCCGTTCATGCTCTGTCTCTCTCTGTCACAAAAATAAATAAACGTTGAAAAAAAAATAAAAAAAAAAAATGTGGCAGTGTACCCTCTTTTTTTTTTTTTTTTTCCTTTCCTTAAGTAGGCTCCACACCTTACATGGGGCTTGAACTCATGACCCGGAGATCAAGAGTCACATGCTCTGCTGACTGAGCCAGCCGGGCATCCTGGCATGTATCCTCCTAAGGAAAATACTTTTCGTTGCTCATTTTTCTTTGGTCATCTAAAATTCATGTTGATAACTACTGTGGTTTCCAAGTCCTCTTGAAAAGATATTTAAGTGTATAACTTCATGGAAATACTAGATTTCATTTGTAGGACTCAAATGGAGATTCTGATTTTAGTGTATATGTCTGATTCTAATCCTTAGTGGCTTGACAAAGTGTACATATAAACCATGGCTACAGATCTATTTACATATGTTTGACTGGGTTTTGAGTGAAGAAGGCTTTGTAAAATTAAATTATTGTTATATCAGCCAGGTTGAAAAACAAACGTAAGTGTTGGACTTGATTTCTTCTGACTTACTCTAGAAGATAGATTGGCGTAGCAGATTGCTTAAATAATCTCTGAGCCCGACCTCCCCGCTGCAGAAGGAGGCAACTAACTCCTCAGTCTCGGGCGTGGTAGACCAGGATGAAATAGCAGTGGTGCTTTGCACGGTTCTTGGCATAATGACAACGGATGTCAGCCTCAGGGCCCCCACTCCCCCAGCAATATTCTGCAACAATATTGTAACAGAAAAGTGCTGAAATTCTAGCTAAAAGGTCTAGATTTAGGTCCTAGTTCTTTTGCTGCTTGCTTTCTTGGGTCAGTTAGTTGACCACAGTGTCCATTTTGTCCTCTATAAAATGAGGTTCTAAAAATGAAACGATGTAATAAGAGCTTCGGACCTAGGCTTTGATTCTTTTTTATCTAGTGTATTTATATTTTGCCCTATTTCCCAATAGTTGACATTAATTTTTACGTGCAAGGGAGGAGCTGTCCTTCAGGAATATTAAGCTAGTAGTTGTGTGTAGGACGCATTTACTTGGAGGAGCAGGGTAGAGGAAGCAACCCAGGGAGTTGCAACATCCATTGGCCCGTCAGGAGGCCTTGAGGTGACGTGAGAAGGGGCAGGGGGGTTCCACTGCGTGGTAAAACAATCTGTTCAGAAAGACTACCGTGGCTCTAGTGATTTCACTGGGCCGGGTCCCTTGATTGTGTTCTTTATTAGCTTCTTCCTGCCTACCCTGGTAGAGTTCTTTCCTCTATGCAGTTTTGTCACTGTTATCAGCTTTCTGAAGAGAGACCTGTATTTTGTAATCTGCGTTCTCCACAACCTGCAATAAATCTAAATCTCAAAAATACGTAATTTTCTGACATTGGACTTTTAAAGGTTTTCATCAGTTGAACCTACTTTTGCAAAAAGGAAGTAATTCCACTTTTTCCTTAACACAGATTTTTTAGTGCTGGCTGGGAAATTTTGTCATTTTCCATTTCTTGTCTTTTACCGTCACACACGAGCTGTTCCATAGACCCAGAGCATAACAGACCTGTTCCGGTGACTCTTTTTCTTTGGAAGCCCTTTTTATGGCTTGCTTTTACTTCAGTCATCCTAAAGTAATTTTAATTGCTTTATGACAAATGCGTATTGATTGTCAGTTAGTTTTACTTTCTCTGTGTAGCTTGAGTACTCCTTCTGGTGACTGTCACAGATTGCCAAACCTGAGGCAAAAGTAGAGTGAATTCTTAGATTTACAATGTGGCATATAAACTTATCGTATCACTTGAATAATGAAGTGTTTTAAGTATTTTATATAAGAAAGGTGGGTGGGAGTGAGGACCGCGGGACGGAAACCTGCCAGGGCAGCCGCAGAGCAGCAGTACCACTTGGTAGTTAGCCATGTGTTGTTCATTGATACGTGCATACTCTTATAAAAGTAAGCTTTACGAACTGGAGCTCTTTTCAGCGTAATGACTTACATGGAATTAAAAAGATTTAGCAATGTTAGCATCAGGTGGGACAGGACCCTCTGCTGTACTTACTAATGAGTTCCCTTTTATGCAGGTTGTGTGGGTTATTTTCAGCTCTCTTGTAACACGGAATAGAAGAGTTGGTCCATCAGAGGCACCCACCAAGTGTTCAGATCTGTCTTTTAGATTATTTTCATTTTGTGAAAAGAACACTGAAGAATCAGTTGGGGCAAAGAGATTTTGTGGGGTTTTGTTGGATCTCCGTAAAGCCAGAGCTGTCTCGCCAACTGCTAAGCATGTATTCCTTCTCATTCATAATGAGGCCTCACGTTAAAAAATGACTTCCGTAGTAGCAGCAGCAGCTTTGTTTTTGTTAGTCGTGGCAGCAGTTAACAGTGCACCAGTGGCTTAACATACCAACACTTAAGTCCTTATTTTTTGTTTTTGTTTTTAAGTCATTGAAATTATGAGACTATCATTCAAATGGAAGCGTTATAGTTCTTCGGAACCATTATGATCTCAAAAGGAAAGGAGAATGATACAGATACACTGGCTGAGGTGTTTTGAGGTGCATCGAAGTGTTCCAAGCTGTGACTTACCTTAACATGTTCTTGAAGTACCATGGCGTGGATTAAAAGGTATGCTTTAGAAATCTCCCAGTGACCCCAGGGTCATGGATAGAATGAACGCTCATGATTCTGTATTTAATTGTCACATAGTTAAAGAGATTTTAATACTTAGATTATAGATGTGGTTATGGATTTATGGTGGTAGTATTTTTTCTTTTGTTAAAAAAAAAACCCACGTATCTATCACCAGCTTGATGAATGATTCCCTCCCCACCCCACCCCAAGAAATGGTTATAGAAGACACTGGGATAGATACTTCCCCTAGATTTTAATAGTGATGGGCTGTAATTTCTTTTACCAAATAGTTTAGGAATTATTCATGTATTAGTCTGTAATAAGCTCTGTGGTCTGCATCATAGACTAGTTTGTCTGCCGTGCTGTCATTTCATGGCCTGAACAGGAAATAGTTGGTTAAATGCTTTAGTTGGAGCCTTAATTTGACTAAACAAAATCATTCTTACTTGGACCATTTATAGTTCATGCTTGTTTTTGTCTTTTACAAATAATTTTTCCTGAGAGGAAAATGAGTGTCTTCTTATTAACAGTGATTGTTACTGCTTCTCTAATTAATCATTCACGTGTTTGTGGTATGTAGTCCCACTGTTATTTGTGGTTGCTAATAGTGGTAATTCTAGGTTTCATATTACCCACTTAACCATCAAAAATTGTTAGGGTTTTTGTGTTCATACATTTTATTTGACTGATGTAGTCAGAACTACTTTTTAATTATTTGAAACCTTGGAAACCTCCTACTTTTGTATGGTGTGCTTCCTGCTAAATGTTTGCTTAGGGATGGTGGAAGTGAATAAACCCAGGAAGAACGCAGAGTCTATTACTGTTGTACTGGGTTCAGAATTCTTCATCTCTTAGGTAATGAAGGAAAGTATATTGGGAAGGTAACAGTTTAAATCATTGATAGGTAAATTTAATAGAAATATACCAGAGCAGTCTGTAATTTTTATCAGTTGGGCTACCTTATGTTAAGATCTCTTGACAGGTTAGCAGTTAAATTCTAGGTGGAATTTAGTTATTAAACATAAGACAAAAGGGCTTTATATTAAATTCTAGCCTATAATGACAGCAGTGTAATCAAGTTTTGAAGTAAGGTCGGCTGCTTATTAACCAAGGCAATCATTCAGTTCAATAGTATCTACTCTCTATAAAGATCTTTTCTGACATGGGTTGGAGATGATATTGAATACATTGTTTATAAAATGTATTTCTTTATAATATTTGCTATTTCAGCTTTAAAAATCTCTTTTTGTGGGATAGTACATGGGGCATCTGTTTTTTGTTTTTTGTTTTGTTTTGTTTTGTTTTGTTTTTAACTCCACAGAGGATTCTTGATGCAGAGACCAGAGTTGGGAACCCTTTGGAAAAGTTTATAACTTAGTGGTTAAGAGCTTACACTCTAGTGCCAACTGACCTATGTTTCAGATCTAACACTTAGTTTATTATTTTGACAGATTGTAAAAATGATATGGAAAAAAGGTTTATATATTAAAAATATAGTAACATAAGTATACATAATTATATAATTTATGTTAATGCATTTTATATGTGTGTATATATATGTGTGTGTGTGCATGTACATATCTATATATAGGTTATATATCTATATAAATAAATTATACACACAGTGCTGGGTAGGAAGCCATTGTTGAGTAACAGATGATTATCAAATGCCAGATCAGGAACCTGGTCTGGGAGGGGGGATGCTATTAACATATTTTTCTTACCTTGAGTTTTACACTTTCTCAGATGATCTTCCTAGAGCTAAATGAACAATCACTATTTGACTGATGCTTTCAATTCTTTGGGCTTTTTCTCATCAGTGAAAGGTGGTCACCAGAGACTGGTAATTTATCTATGGTCCTCTAATTCTGCCCAAGTAGAGCATTCTCTAAAGCTATGTTTTTCAAATTGCAGGTTTCAACCCATTCAAGAAATTGATTTAATGGGTTATGATCAGCATTAAGACACATACTAGAATAGAAAATAAAATATCAGAGAGCATGGGCTATAGAAAAGGCTATTTAAAAAATATTTTGTTTCAGGTTTTTAAAATGCTGAAATAAAATGTATACACATTTATGTTGATTGGATTGCTTTAAGTGTGCCTACCATGGTCACAGATGCTATTGGTCTGCCTTGTTTCACCTTGTTAAGAAATAACCAGGATACGTTCCAGTCTGTGGCTTGTGATGGTATGCCGTGCTCTATATTACCTTCAAGGATCCCCTTACCATCCCTTTCATTTGAAGTGAAGGTTATTATAGGAGAGTATCTAAGGAGTAGAGGAGAATAGGAGAACATAATGGCTTTTGAGTGGCATTACAAAGGTGTTTTATCAAGTAGAGTGATCAAGTATACTGCCCCTTGGCATACATTCTGGTATTTATCATCTATAGATCAGTGATCTTCAAACTGCCAGTAGTAGCCTATTCTGGAGTCAAATGAATAAGTTACTGCCTTTCCCCCTTAATTAAATGAAGCGGAAAAGAACAGAATAGCAAATGTCTTAATGTATCCCACAATATGGCTTTGTAAAACTTTTGTTGTAGGGGCATGTATATGTGCCAGATTGCAGAGACCTAAGTACTGGTCAATTGGGAAATTGTATGAAGCTCAGTCTTACAAATCTAGATCACCAAACTGACCCCGGCCAGAAGACTTCAGATATCTAAAACAGGATTATCAGTTCAGTCAGTGGTCTTATCTCTGATGGTAGGTTATAGTTAATGAGCTGTGAAACATTTTTGTTGTTGTTGTTGTTGTTGTTTTTAAGAGAGATGGTGCATGTGCAGGGGAAAGAGGGAGTGAGAGAGAATCTCAAGCAGGTTCCATGCTCCTCACAGAGCCCTGTGTGGGGCTTGGTCCCATGACCCCCAGTATCATGACCTGAGCCGAAATCAAGAGCCACTCAGGTGCCCCTTTGTTTTTGTTTTTTGTCATGTTATTGGTATGTGTGAAGAGGTGTGAGCTTGCCCTGGTAAATATTTAAAGTCTCCTAGGTAAGAAATTTATAATATATACTGCTTGAGGACGAATTTACTCTTACTTTACATTGATGAAAGTGGCCCATACAGTTAAAAAAAAAAAAAAACCCAAAAACCTGATGATATATACTAAAACCCACCCAGTTCATTTTCTGATTCCTTATATGTTAGGACTTTGCATGTAATAAACAGGTGCTGCTTCAATTCAGAAGATAGACATAAGTTTAATGTTGCAAAAAGATTAAGCATAAATCAGATAGATTATAATATTTAGTGTAGTTAAATGTTAGACCTTTTATTTTTTTGTATTTGTGCCTGTGTCCACTGCAGTGTCCTGCTAACAGGCAGATATTTGTTTTATAGATTTGTTGAAGGTGATCACAGAGTTTCTGGTGAATATTTTAAAATAAAGCTTCAAAGTAGGACAATATCAGCATGTGTTTGTTTTAGGATTGTGTCTAAAATACAGTTTCTCTCTAGAAAACAATAAGAGAATGAAGACTTCTGGTAAATGGTTTCATAGCAATGGAATTTGTATATTAGCTTTCTCCACTTGGGAGTTGAAAAATGGAAGAAATCTTTGCCAGAATAGGAGGCCAAAAGATGATAAGCACAATTCATCTTTCTTTGCAAGTTCTTGGTATTTGAGTCAGACGTACATAGTTCCTGCTCTGAATTGGGTACGATATACTAAACTTAGAAATCGTGTTTTGAAATTACAGAAGATAAAGTAGTAACCACCCCTCCCCACCCACCCCCCACCCCCTCAACCAGTGGATTAAGTATGCCATTGATGGTAGGTTGTCTTTGCAGGGGTGTGCAGGGGTAAATTGCTAGTGGTGAGGCAGAAAACAGCCTGTGGATTCAGAGAATGGGAAAATTAATTCCTTTTTTCCATTACTCCATTTCCCCAAAACCTCCCACTCCCCACCCGACCTTGCCTTCTCCCAGACTGTTCAGTTCTTCCTACCCTCATGAACAGCATCGCTTGGCTTTTCATCATTATTTTAGTCCGGTTTATTCTCAACCTCCTCTCTCTTCCTCATGCTGCTTCTCCTGTTGAGACTGCAAAGTTTCATGGTGTTGCTTCCTGGCATTTATTTCTTCTTCACAACTATGTCCCTTTACTTTAGTTACCAGCATGCATGAGAATGAGAGCAACTTGTATCCTTTATCTTTGGTAGATTTTTCCTCCTAACATGTAGTTTAGAAAGAAACTAAACTGTATTCTAGTTTAGTTGGCCTCGAACTGAGAGCAGTGGCCACAGATGGCCCCAACCACATATCTAGGATTAGAAGAAAGAACATTTCATAAATTACTGTTAATTATTAGATATGGTTCCAGGATACTTTTGGTTACTAAAAACAAGTCAAAAACTCTCTTAAGAATGAAGATTAGCTGCTTTGAGAGTGTTTTAAAAAGATGTTTTAGATTATGAAAATAACAAAGTTTTAAAAATCTTTTGTATAAATGATAACATTGTTAGCATTAGGTACTTTCTCAAGCTAATTTATAGTACTTTGAAAAACATTGCCATTTTGCCTGTTTCTGGAATCTGGGATATCTATTAAAAGAATACTTTAGAACCCTATTTCAAGCATGAACCTAACTGAAGTGGAATATACTAGGTCAGTAATTGTCATGAAAATTGGGGAATATCTTGCTTGTGAAAAAAAAAGAAATCAGTTTATCTTGTAATATTGAACTGCTAGGTGATTATGGGGAGGCTAGTGCGTAGGTGAGCCGGAAATGTGCACACATGCCAAACCTGTTGCTTAAATGAGGGGTACGGTTTTCATTATGGAGACCTTATCAGCCATGTGGCCAGGTTCTTACACATCAGAGCGAGTGAACTGCAAATAAAATAATGGCAGCTTTAGATGACGCCCACAAGTCGTCAGGTGTTGCTTTAACAACCGTCACGTCAGCATATACTCTTTAAAAATAATGACTGGAAATGTACGACTTTGGAAAATAGCGATCGGAAAGGACAGCTGCCTTCTTCCACT